AAAACCGTTCTGAGAACAGAAGCGGTGTTCTCAGAACAGAATCCCAGAATGTGTTGACACAAGACAGTCTCAACCAGAAGTGTTCTAAGAACATGTCATGGGAACCGCAAGAGGAACTTGGAACATTGTTTGGTAGGCCTATGGGCACGCCTGGACGCTTCGCGATTACTTGAGCGATCCTCGAGCCTTGCCAAGAAGGCTCCGGGGAAGGCTCACGCGCACGGGGGCGCTCGGCCACCCCGGGCACTGCCGCGCGGCCCCGCCTCTTGCAGGAGCGCCTCGCGGCCGAAGCCGTGCCCGAGCCTCGGCCCGAGCGGGACCGACGCCGGGGCCCGGACTGCTCCGGACGCGCCAGAGCGTGACCGACTGAGCAGGGACCGACCGTCCTGGCATTCCCATAGGCCTGCCACGAGATGGTCTCGGGACCCAAAACCGTTCTGAGAACAGAAGCGGTGTTCTCAGAACAGAATCCCGATGTGTTGACACAAGACAGTCTCAACCAGAAGTGTTCTAAGAACATGTCATGGGAACCGCAAGAGGAACTTGGAACATTGTTTGGTAGGCCTATGGGCACGCCTGGACGCTTCGCGATTACTTGAGCGATCCTCGAGCCTTGCCAAGAAGGCTCCGGGGAAGGCTCACGCGCACGGGGGCGCTCGGCCACCCCGGGCACTGCCGCGCGGCCCCGCCTCTTGCAGGAGCGCCTCGCGGCCGAAGCCGTGCCCGAGCCTCGGCCCGAGCGGGACCGACGCCGGGGCCCGGACTGCTCCGAACGCGCCAGAGCGTGACCGACTGAGCAGGGACCGACCGTCCTGGCATTCCCATAGGCCTGCCACGAGATGGTCTCGGGACCCAAAACCGTTCTAAGAACAGAAGCGGTGTTCTCAGAACAGAATCCCGATGTGTTGACACAAGACAGTCTCAACCAGAAGTGTTCTAAGAACATGTCATGGGAACCGCAAGAGGAACTTGGAACATTGTTTGGTAGGCCTATGGGCACGCCTGGACGCTTCGCGATTACTTGAGCGATCCTCGAGCCTTGCCAAGAAGGCTCCGGGGAAGGCTCACGCGCACGGGGGCGCTCGGCCACCCCGGGCACTGCCGCGCGGCCCCGCCTCTTGCAGGAGCGCCTCGCGGCCGAAGCCGTGCCCGAGCCTCGGCCCGAGCGGGACCGACGCCGGGGCCCGGACTGCTCCGAACGCGCCAGAGCGTGACCGAGATCCCTGGCTCGAAAACAACTGCGGCCACACGCTCGGCAAACCACGTTTTCGGTGCCAACTTGGGGCACGCTTCCAGACATGCGACGTCCTGATTTTTTCAGGACGGCGTTCCCGGAAGTCCCGACCCTTTCCCTGGGGCCGACTTTTCGTCCTGAGTCGTTTTTTGACGGTCCCGCGGCCCGGCGAGGGCCCCCCAAGGGTCGAAAATAGCCAGACACCTCCCGCCCTGATTTTTGTACGACGCGAGCATGCCTGGGTTTCGGTCACCGAGACGTGTCGGCCACCTGCACCTCGTCGCCCGACGGGGGCCGGGCTCCATGGCGCCCTGGCCGCGGCACGGCACGCGGGCGGCACGAGGTTCTCTTCCCGAGCGCTCCAGGAACCGTGCGGGCGCTGCACGGCACGAGAGCGACGAAGGCACAACGCACACACACACACACACACACACACACACACACACACACACACACACACACACACACACACACACACACACACACACACACACACAGAAGACTACCCGCCCCGCAGGGCGCAATCTGAGGAGGCGCTAGCCTTATGTCGGGCGTGTCCCCCTACAGGGGGATTTTCGACGACGAATAAAACATGCCCCAAAAAGGTAAAAAAATTATCCAAAAATAGTCCCCAGACTATTTTTGGAATATTTTTTGAACATTCTGGGGGTACTTTTTATGTTTCGTCAAAAATCCCCCTGCAGGGGGACAGGCCCGACTTAACGCTAGCCCCCCAAAGGAGTGGGGAGGCAGAGGGGGCTGGGCCGGGGGCACGGGATGGGGCCGGGCGAGGCGCAGGTGCTCCGGGCCCCCGAGCCCGAGCCGCTTCTCGCTGTGGGCTCCGGCCAGCGCGGGGCCCTCGCGGGCAAGCCCCGGGAAGAGGCTGCGCGCGGGGGTGCTCGCGCTCGAGCGGCGGCCTCTCCCCCGGTGCCTGACGACCCGCGCCCGTGCCCATGGCCGATGCTCCTCGCCTCCTCCTCCTCCTCCTCCTCCTCCTCCTCCTCCTCCTCCTCCTCCTCCTCCTCCTCCCCTCCTCCCCCTCCTCCTCCCCCTCCTCCCCCTCCTCCGAAGTGTGAGGGCGGTGGCCTCCGCGCGCCCCCCGAGGAGGAGGGCAGAGGGGCGACCGCCCCACTCCTGCAGCAGGAGGGCGCCCGGAGCGGAGCGGGACGCGGCGTGGGCGCCCAAAGGCACCTCGCCAGGACGTGGGCCAACACGCAGAGCCAGCACGCAACGCAGTGGCACGGACGACTCAAGGACGGCACGCGCTGCGCTTCAACACAGGGGTCGACCCAAACGATGTCTGTGGCGATCTCGTGGGCCGTGTTCGTTTCGATTTCGCTCTGCAGCCGAGGCGCACTTGCAAGAGGCAAGACGAGGCACAACGACCACAGAACGAGTACGAAAAACCCTGTTTAAATCGATCCCTGCTTCTACTCGGGCGCACCGAGGCAGCCGGGATGCCCAGGGCCCACCCTCCTCACTCCCGACCCCTGGGTGTCCACGCACAACAAGGATGGCTGCTTGGGAGATGAATCGTGGCGCCTCGCGCCCCGAGAAATGTGCGGTCCAGGGTCTGGCCCCCGTCGGGGAGGGTGGGTAGCAGCTGCGTCAGAAGTCCGAGAAGGGACGGGTGGGGGTTAGACGATTCGAGGTGTGTATCAAGGGGCATCGGAGGTTGTAGTGGGCCTTTGGAAGAGGAGAGCAGGAGCACGAGAGAGGAGGGAGGATGAGAGATGAGGAAGGGAGGATAGCAGGAGAACATTTCAAATGAAGAGGTGCCCCCTGCACCGCTCCCCGTGGGTGTCGGGTGGTGGTGGTGGTGGTGGTGGTGGTGGTGGTGGTGGTGGTGGTGGTGGTGGTGCTGGTGGTGGTGCTGGTGGTCGGGCCCCTTGAAGTTGGAGGAGGAGGAGGAGGAAGAGGAGGAGGAGGAGGAGGAGGAGGAGGAGGAGGAGGAGGAGAACATCAGACGACGAGAAGGAGGAGGAGGGAGGGATGGGGAGGGTGACGGAGGGAGGAGGAGAAGCAACATCGTCGCCGACGGTGCCTTCCCCGTCGTCCCCTTCCCTGGCGCCGAGCAGATCGCCCGATCCCGAACGAAGGACCCCAATAATCCGACTGCGGAGATCGTCGGGGACTGGCCCGAATCAGTCCAGACCCCGCTCAGTCGGGCTCTGCAGGATCCTGCAAGACCCTGCAGGACATCCTGCAGGATCCTGCGCCCGAGCCTGGGTCACTGCAACCCTGGCCCTGCAGTGTCCTGCAAGATCCGGCGGCCTGGCTAGCCCGTGTTTGCACCGACCCCCGTCTCTTGAGCCCCTACTGGGATGACCGTGGGGGTTTCTAAGTGGATAGGGGGGTTACAAAGTGGATGCTAAGGTGGGCTATATCTGGCCCAACCTGGCATATAAATGGGTTACAAATGCCCCGATTGGCTTAAGTGGGCGGAGCCCACTTAGCCCGGAACGTTAACCCTCCTAAGCCACTCGGGGCACTTGTAACACACTTATAAGCCAGGTTGGGCCAAATATGATCCACCTTGGCATCCACTTGTAAACCCCCACGGTCATCCCAGTACAAGCAGATGTTAGACGAAAAATTAACGGGCATGTCCCTGATCGGAGTACCCTGGGGGCACGCCTGGAAGTAGATGGGGTGGGGTTGCACCTCCGATGCATCGGCGATTCGGCTCGATGTGGAGGCCGAATCTGTCAACGCCGACACATCGCCGATGCGTCGCCGATGCACCGACGAAGCGACGTGATCCTCCGATCCCACCTGCTCGGACCCCACGGCTTACGCAAAGGCTACAGGCGGATTTTGGACGAAAATCAAAGAATTGCCAAGAAGAGTTCACACATAGTCAACCGAGCGGGAAAACTCGTCACCACACTGTTTTTGTGTTGAATCTTCCTCTTGTGGAGGACATGCCCGACTTAAAGGAAGGCGCCGAATGCTGGTTGGGCTTCCGACTGGCTCCTGCAAAGAAAGAAAAGAACAGGAACAAAACAAATCGTTGCTTGAAATAGGAGGGAATACATAATATTCGAAGGCTCCGAAGGGTGTGGTTCGCAAGGGGAGTGATTTGCAACCAGCACTCTGGGGGGCACCCTGGGGGGCGGGTGAGGATTTCGAATTAGCTCTCCGCCGCGCCCCGAGGAGGCCCGACGAGTACAGTGTCGTGCCCCCCAGGCCCCAACGGTGCCGCTCGCAAACTACGCCCCAGCGTAACCATACATACTCTTTCCAGTCGCCGAAATGAACCCGCGCATCCTCAACAAACGATGGGCACCCCTCCTGCTCCCGCTGCGGCCGCCCCTGCTCCGCAGCGTGGCGGCCCGACGGGTCAACGGTCAACGGCCAACTGGGCGACGAAAAGAATCTGGTCCTACGCAAGATGGCATGGCGATCTTACGCCGCGGCTTACGTCGGGCGGACAACAAGGTAGGGCACCGCCCAGCCCGACTTACGCGGGCTGCCGGCTCGGCATGCCACGTTGGAAACGAGTGCGCTTACGCGTGACCTTACGCGGGGGACGCTTGCGCACCAATGTCGGCGAAGTCGACCCCGCTATCTTCCGGCGCACAACTGTCCTGCGCCCTCACAGGAGTGGCTGGTGCCGCGGCGCTGTCTGCCCGGTCCAGCGAGCCAGCGGGTGAGGCCAGAGTTCAGCGAGTCGGAGACGGTGGGCTGGGCAGCAGGGCGAGCTGCTGGAGCGGCGAACGGGGTAGCGGCGTGGTGGCAGCAGGCAGGCAGCCGCCCGATCGGCCTGCTTGATGCGCAGCAGCAGGTCGTCTTCTGGATCGTCCTTCTTCAGGGGGGGGGAGGGAGACCGAGCGGGGTGCTCTCGAGGGTCGATCGCTCTGCGGAGGAGCATGACGACTGTCAGGGAGGGAGCACCGATCGGCAGCGATACTCAGGGAGGCATGCGGCGGAATGCAGGCGGATGGGGGACGGATGGGGCGAATGGGATCCCGTTTTGTCGAACCGCCGGCTTGGCACTGGGCTTGGAATCGATGCGCCCATCGGACCCCCCAAGAGCTCCCCGGACCCTAGAACTCTCCTCCTCCTCCTCCTCCTCCTCCTCCTATTCCTCCTGCTGCTCATATTCACGAAGACCTTTCATGGAGAGTGATGCGGCCAAGATGCCGAGAAGAGGTCCGAGGAGATGGGGTTGCAGGTTCGCGCCGCATCGCCAATGCATCGCCGACGCGTCGCCGACGCATCGGCGACGTCGGCGATGCATCGGCGACGTCGGCGCGGAGAAAGTCGAGCTCCACATCGAGCCGCGTCGCCGATGTATCGGTGATGCGGCGCGATCCTGCGACCCTCTCTGCTCGGACCCCATCTCTCGCCATCGCTCGGACGCCCATTCCCGGTGCAGTTATCTCGGCCTCGTGCGTGCACTCTTTCGCAAAAGGACCCCAAAGGCTCCACGGTGGCCCCCTGCCGGGAAACGTGGCCCACGCCCGAGCGATGCCAAGATCTGTGAAGGGGCCCTGGGACACACAACTAAATAAAAAGACTCCCCACATTTTCTCACATGTTCCGGGTTCTTGTCTCCCCCCCCACTTCCCATATTTTCCCATATCTTCTTGGGAATCGACGATTAATTGTGTCTGTGTGTTTTTTTTTCCCTCCTGAATCTGGGAGGCCCTGCCGAGGAGGAGGAGGAGGAGGAGGAGGAGGAGGAGGAGGAGAGGGAGGGAGGAGGAGGAGGAGGAGGAGGAGGAGGAGGAGGAGGAGGAGGAGGAGGAGGAGGAGGAGAGGAGGAGGAGGAGGAGGAGGAGGAGGAGGAGGGAGGACGAGGAGGAGGAGGAGGAGGAGGCCTGCCGCGGAGAAGAGGGAGGCGGGGCGTGCCGATGCCGCTCCTATTGGGAGCCGCTGCCGAGCAGCCTGGCCTTCGCCAGGCGGCGCCCCCTCTCGCGGGCGGCACGGTGCACCGCCTGGCCCTCCGGGGTGCGAGTCCTCCTCCTCCTCCTCCTCCTCTCCTCCTCCTCCTCCTCGCTCCTCGCTCCTCCCTCCTCCTCCTCCTCCTCCTCCTCCTCCTCCTCCTCCTCCTCCTCCTCCCCTGCTAAACTGCACGGTGCCCGGGCCCGGCGCGCACCTGCGGACCCCCGCAGCACGCCCGCGGGAGAGTGCAGGCCGCCCAACAGGGGGGGGGGAGGGGCCCACTGCGGCGGGTACCGTCAACGTCCATGGTACTGCGGGATGGCGATTCATACAAAGAATGGGAGAGAACGTTCTTAAAACATAGCTTTCTGCTACTTCTGCTCCACCTTCTGACTGGAGGAGAACGATCAAAACAAAAAGCTTTCCAGCCCGCGGCCGGTTTTTTCTAATCGTCATCCCAGGCGCCGCCGCGTGAACACGACCCCCGGTCATTTATTAATCGTCATCCTCCATTAAGGATGCAGCTCTCAGGATGCAAGCGGGCAAATGCAGAGCAAGGATGCAC